CTCCCCAATGTTTTAGTAGCAGGCAAAGTCAGTTATTCTGCCACTTGTCTCGGTTTTGCTGGGTCCACAAAATGCCCCCAGCGGGGGCACTCCCTGGCTCAGTGCCCCGCTCCTCCAGGGAGGCTGTGTACCTTTGGGCAGCTCCCGGACGGCCGTGAGGCTGGCAGCTTGTGAAGGCAGCGTTTTTCCTCTCCAGAAGGGAGTTTCTGCCTCTTCTACCTCAGTTAGGATTGTCTGTTGTTGCAGGAGTTCCTCTTATCTAGTTTTCAGTTCTGTCTCAGGGGTAATTTTTCCACGAGTAGTTGTAAATTGGCTGCGTCCGTGGGAGGAGGTGAGTTCAGAGTCTGCCTATGCCGCCATCTTGACTTCCTCCTGCTGAATTAGTCTATGATATGTTTAGGTGTGTTTTTCTTTGTATTTTTCTCGCTTGGGGTTTTCTGAGATTATTGTATACATGGTTCTAAATCTTCCATTACTTTTATAAAATTTGTGACCATTATATCTTCAAACAATTCTTCTACCTCATTGTCTTTCTCTGGTACCTCAATTATACATATGTTAGACCATTGAATACTAATTTCCAGACATTGTATGTAAAAGAATATTAGAGACTGATGTATTTACACCCGGAAGCAATGATTCTTCTTTTGTCTGGCTATTAGTGTAGGTTTGTCAATGTTGACAGAAGTAGAGTTGGATTTTGGTTTTGTTTTTGCTATATTTATTGTCAGTGCACCACAGGCTTAAAATTCTTCTAATGGGACTGCAGCTAGCTACCTTGTGCTTTATAGCACAAGGGGTGCTTGAGGGTTTTTTGTCAGTGTTCCTTCTACGCCCTTAGCTTTCAGCAGGTCCGGTATGCCTGTGCCACAGATGAGGTCTCCCTCTGCTCTTTTGATCCACTTATATTGGTGGAGTGCTATTGCTTTTTACTCAAGCAAAGCTCATGATGGAAGCAGAGGATAGATTCCCCTGGTCCAGCCTCAATCTTAGGCCCTAAGTGCCTGAGCCTCAAGGGTGAGACTCTGCCTTGTTTTGGTGGTGGTTCTTGGGAAGGAAGGATGTTCTTGCCCTTCCATCTTTGGCAAATAGTTTTTATTTCTACCCTTCCCTCTGGTGGTAGCCAACTTTTGGGTGGACTATAAGACACGACGGTTTCCTTCCCCTCCCTCAGTGGCAAGTGGCTTGTGCTCTGTCCCTCTCCTTGTAACAGCAAACCTTTTCCAGGGATTCGAGGGCAAGAGAGTTTCCCGCCTCAATCCCAGAAGCAGAACTGCTTTTGCTTTGCATGCCAAAAGAGTCAGAAATATAGCCCTGGAGGGTAGGAGGGTGAGCCAGCATTCCTGCTTCTCCCTCAGTGTAGCCTACCACCACCAAATGCTTTCTTCATTGAGGAGAGCTCTCTCACCCTGTCAAATGGTAAAGATCTGGTAAGTGGGTATGGGTTTCCCTTGTTTCTGAGGTTCCTAGGGTTTCTAAACCATTATGCTAGCCCTCACTTAGTCTTTAAGAATTCAGTAAAATTTTGAGTGTTTTCTTCCTGCCTTTTATGGTTGCTACCTCTTCCTCCTGTGCTCTGCCAAAGATGAAACAGTTTGTGTGTCTCATCCTTCTTCCAAAGGGTTTCTTAAACTTTCGAATCAATTCACCTGGTTGCTTTGCAAATGTAGCTCTCCAATGGGCTCAAAAAAGTGAAAATTCTTTATATTACCCAGCTTTTTTTTTCTTATTTATTTATTTTTGGTTATTGTTGTTAGAATGGGGGTAACGTTTTGTTTGGCTCTCTATATTCTGAGTAGAAGCGAAAGTCCTAGTACCATTTATTTTGAACACAGTTCAAAGTAATGCCTTTGCTCTCAGGCAGTGCCCAGTCTGGTACCAAAGCACAAGAATAAGAGTCCCTCCCCTTTCTGACCTCCTAGGAATCCTGTTTCCTTTACGCTTGTTTATGTCATGAGCAATGTAAGGGGACATCCTAGTTGAGTATGATGAACATGGGAAAACTAGGGCATTGATCCTATTTATGTAGTGACCATATATTTGTCAAGCTAGGTCTCTTCATATGGGAAAAATAAGATTTCCACTTGCCAATGGCATATGGCTCTGTTGAGGCAAGTTCAGGCCTCAGGTCAGTGGTGGGGTCTGTGGTACCCTCCTTTCCAGCTCTTCTCAGTGGTTTTTCTCCCTCTTCTACCAGCCTAGCACTTGCTAGCAGCACAAAAACTTGTTGAAGAGCTAGACTGTTTTTGGTAACACAATGTCTGATCCATGGGAGGGAAGATAGTTTCATTTCTCCTGGAAAGTCACCTTCCCCATATGTATGGCCTAAATAACTTATATTTCTGCCTAAGGAAAGAAAACCAATAATGAGTTGCATTTTCATATTAAAAAAACACAAGTTTCATATCCTACTACTATTCTCCTACATTCTTTCTTTTCAGTAAGATTTTTGCACCTGAGAAAGTAAATCACACTTCAGGTCCCATCCTCCTACTTAGGGAGGAAAATATTAATCCTTTCTGTTCTTGGCTAGGGATAGAGTTTCTAGGACAATAATTTCTATGTGTAAAACACCTCAGTTTGGAGCATTCATTGGGACATTGTTTTATAATCTTTGCTGGTTTTTCCAAATGTGGTAGAAGTGCCTTTTTCATGTCTTCTGATTTCCCCTGGTCCTTCAACAATTTTCAAGTTGTTTCTAGTGAGACTATCCAGTTCAAAAAACACTATATTAAAATAAGTCTGGGGGAATTGAGAGACAGTTCCACTGTCCCATCATTGCATAGTTCTCTTCCCTGGCTTCCCAATGAAAAAGTATTAAACAAGCACTAGGATCCTTTGACTTCCATTCGAGTTACTCGCGCGCTTCCTGCCTGCGTTAGCAGTTATCCGAATCTAGTAGTACTACTAGCTTTTTTTTTTTTTTTTTTTTGTGCCCATCCTCACGTGGAAGCAAAGACACAGCCTTGGAAGTTCTTCCAGGGCAACTGTCATCCTCCGAACGTTCCCTCTGGAGGCTTGGGCTGCAGGCGCCTCTGGTGGCCACCAGTTTCCCCAGGTCGACGCCCAGCTGGCTTTTCGGTTGGAGCCGGCGGAGCAGCCGCCACCGCGCCTGGGGACGACAGGCGCCCAGCGTGCGCTGCGACCCGAGCCTCGGCAGGCCACCGGCGGGCCATGGAGGAAGCCCTGGTGGAAGTGGAGCCCAAGGCCGCGCAGGCCCAGCCTCCTGAGAGCACCGCGCCCGGGAAGGCCTGGAAGGCCAAGAAAAGACCCCTGTATCTGACGGCGGTTCCAGCCGGCCTGATTAAGTTGCGCAATTTACCAAAGACAAGACACCGGGCTGGGGCCACACCCCCAGCTACCAAGAAACCTCGAGAACGGAATGAAAATTTGGAGGGGTCCTGCGGCTGGGGCTGTGTACTTATTCCCAGCTGTCAGCGTTTTAACAACATGCGCTGCTTCCTGATTTTCTACGGCATCCTGGTGACCTCTCAAGGTGAGCCTGGGCCGGGAGGGGCCGTTCGGGTGAGGCCGCAGCGCCGCAGGGGGCTGCCTGCGTGAGGGAGGCGGGAGACGTGTGGGGGGAGTGCCGTGTGGAGGCGCGGCTGGAGGCGGCCGTCCTCCCTAGTGTTCTCAAGGCATGTGTGAAATCAAAGTAGGTGAAGCTGGCCGCCAACTTGGGTTTGGGCTCCTGTCATTGCTTTGCTTCATCAGGCACCGCCTGACACAGTCCGCCCTCGCAGTGTGGGTGATGGGGGTCTGGCCTCCAGAGAGCCCGCTGGAGGGAAGTTGATGTTGAGTCATCTTCTCGCCAATCCTGAGAAGTTCAGAGTTGAATGGCTCGGGGAGTTAAAATAAAGTTGAAACAGTGTCTGTGACTACCATGTTGGTTCTGCTTCTGCCCACAATTTTGAGACACACTTGCCAAGTCACTTCCTCTCTGGATCTTGTTTCCTTATGTGTGAACTGAGGAGGTGGGGTGGAACCTCAAACAATCTACATAACAGAAGCCAAACTGGAAGGTAGTTATCTTTGCCCACACAGTTTGAAGAAGAATGTGAATTTGAATGCCTTTAGAGAGGGCGTGCACTGTCTACTTGGCCACAGCCCTCACCACTTCCATTACACCTAGATTCTTTACTAGCCTGTTTAGACTGATGGCATCGGGGTTTGCCAAACATGATCTTTTTTTTTGCTCTAAAATGCTATGTCTGAATAAGTGCAATAAAGAGGCTATATGTGATGAGAACCTATGAGAAGAACAAATAAATAATCGATTTGTCTTGAGATTATCAAAGAAGTTTTTTAGAAGAAGACTCATTTGAATTATACCTTGATAAATAGGTACAGTTCTGATAGCTGGGGATGTAGTTAAGGAGAATTTATTGAGTAAAGAAGTGAATGAATGAGTGTTTTGATAAATAAACAGATACAGAACAACCTGCTTTCAGAATGGTGAGTGACAAGTTTGGATGATGGTTTCACCTAAGCACCGAAAGGGATAATTGTATTTGTTTTATTCATTGTGTCTTCCCAGGATCTAATATAGTGACTGAGGCAGAAAACACACCCAATAAATATGTATTGAATGCATAAATGAATCAAAAAGGAAGGAAAAGACAAATTGGCAGCCACAGTTTGAAGGTCTTTAAGTACCAGACTGAGAATTTTGAAAGGATACTAAAAGGTGTTTACTTCCCACTAATGTACTGGGTGAAGAGTAAGGTGCTTTACAGGCATTATCTCACTTAATATAATCTCCTTCTTAGGTGCATAATGAGGAGCCATTGAAAGTTTCTGAACAAGTGGTTGACAGTGAATGGTTTTAGCTCTACTAGTTATTAACTGACTTCATACAAGTCAGTAGCTCAGTTCAGGTATAATATTAAGTCTTCAATTCATAAATATGGTGTATCTCTTCATTTATCTATTTATCAATTGATCTATTTATTACTTATTGTTACATTTTAAACAATTTTGAAATAATTTCAAACATACAGAAAGGGTGCAAAGGCAGTACAGAGAACTCCCCTCTGCCCAGATTCGCCACTTGTTTACATTTTACACGTTTGTTCCCTCACATTTTCTTTCCCTATACATACAAACTTTTAGACATGGTGCCCCATTACTGCTAAACACTCCAGTGTGCATCTTCCCAAAGTTAGGACGCTCTCCTACATGATGACCATACACCCCTCCCAGTCAGGAATATCCATGCACTTTAGTTTACACTACCATCAAATTATGAATTGGTGGCCCCACTCAGATGTTGCTAAGGGTCTCAATATTGTCTCTTTTTCCTTTTTGACCCAAAATTCTATCCAGGAAAACATGTTGCATTTAGTTGTCATATTTTAGAGTTCTTCTTTAGTCTGCAACAATTCCTCATTTTTCCCGTGTGTCTTAAGTCTACGCAAGTCTTAAAGTATATGGGTCTTTCGTTCCGTATGTTGAACTTCAACCTGAATATGTTTGATATTTCCTTATGACCAGACTCAGGCCATGCCTGTCTGCCTGCCTCCCTCACTTTATCCCTCCCTCCCCCAATCTGTGGTTTGGCTTTTCATTTTCTTACCTGTGTCTTTTTGATTAAAAAAAAGTTCAGTTTTGATAAGTCCAATTTATTAAATTTTTTTATGATTCATTCTTCTTGGTTCCTATTCAGGAACTGTGTAACTTATGGTCATGAAGATTTTCTGCTTTGTTGTCTTCTAGAAATAATATGGTTTAGTTGTTATGTTTAGGTCTCTGATCCATTTTGAATGAATTTTTTTGTATATGGAAAGGGTCAAGGTTCATTTTTTTGTATAGAACCTTTATTCCAGCATGATTTATTGAAAAGTCTGTCTTTTAACCCATTGAATTACCTTGGCACTTTTGTTGAAATTCTGATCTCTTTCTGAGTCTATTTCTAGCTTCTCTGTTCTGTTCTATTGACCTAATATGTCTATACTTATGCAAGTATTATATCACGTTGGTTACTGTGGCTTTATTGTATGTATTGAAATCAGATATTCTTCTGACTTTGTTCTTTTTAAAAGTTGTTTTGGCTATTCTAGATACTTTGCTTTTCTGTATTTGTTCATTTCCATAAAAAACTTACTGGGATTTTAATTGAAATTTCTTTGATTCTATAGATTTGGAGAAAATTGAATTCTTAATAATATTGAGTGTCTGATGCCTGACCATGGTATATTTCTTTATTTATTTAGGTCTTCTATCCCACAACTTAGCTAAATTAATTTATTAGTTAAAGGAGCCTTTTGGCAGATTCCTTAGGATTTTTTATATACATGATCATGTCTGTGAATTGGGACAGTTTTACTTTTTTCTTCCCAATCTGTATGCTTTTTATATCTGTTTCTTGCTTTGTTGCACTGGCTAGGCCTTCCAGTACAATGTTTAATAGAAGTTCTGAAAAGAGATGTTCATTTATTTTTCCTGATTTTAGGTAGAAATCATTTAGCCTTTCACAATTAAATATGTTAACTGTAGATTTTTTGTAGATACCCTTTATCAGTTTGTGGATATTCCTTTTATTCTTAGTTGGTTGAGAATTTTTATCATGAATGTGTCTTGAATTTTATCAAGTGTTTTTTCCTATATCTATTGAGACCATCATATGGCTTTTCTTATTTATTCTATTAACATTTATTCTATCACCATTATATATTGCATTTTTTTGATTTTTGGGTATTTAACCAACCTTACATTCCTGGGATAAACCCTTATTACTGGCTTATTATCCTTTTTATATATTGCTGGATTCAGTTTGCCAAAATTTTGTTGAGAATTTTTTTTTTATGAGACTGTTGGTCTGTAGTTTTCTTGGAATGTTTTTGTCTGTCTTTAGTTAACAGGTAATACTGGCCTCATTAAATTAATTGGGATATGTTCCTTTCTTTTCTCTTTCCTGAAAGAGTTTATGTAGGATTGAGCGCCTACACAAACTCAGAATCAATTTATCAGTTTATTGCCTCTCTATATCAGTATCAGTATCAGTTTATTGCCTCTCAGCTCCAAACTCATCCTTTTTGCCTGCTCAGTGATAACAGACTAGGGCCCTTTAAATATCCTTCTTTGCCAGCTGTCACAATGTTAAACTTCGTCAGTAGAGGGTATTTGAAAGTCACTGTGCAAGAAATTTTACTCCTTGGTTCGAGTGTGCTTGCTTGGCGAGCTCCTGCAGTGTGTGCAGCTTTCTCTGGCAGCAGGCTTTTGTAGTGCTTACATCTTCGCCAGTATCTGCCTCCTACAGTGCATGGTGGCCGGCAGCTTCCTCTGGCATCTCCTGTGAAGAGCTTTCCCCAGCACGTAGGAGGAGAATTATCACAACGTTTCAGAGTATAGATTTCCAGCAAGCTTTGTGAGCATGGCACCCCAGGGACTTCTTGGTCATTCAGTAAACCATGGCTGTGCTGTCTTCAACAAGGTCTGGATTTTAGCCCTTGAGGGCTCTATCTCAGCTGAAGGGGGAAGTGGCTGTTCCGTAAATTGGCTATTTCTATATTCTTTAGCATTCTCTTTACTTCTTACTGGCTAATGCCTTGTCACTCTAACCCCCTATTATATATTAATGTAAAGATTATAATAATTCTTTACATTAAAATTTCCATGTTCGAATCATTGTGTGTTCTCTCTCTCCTGATTGGATTCAGACTGTTATGGAATTGATATCAGGAGTGGGCCCAGAAGATATACTAATGAAGATAGGATTTTAGGATTGGTTTTGTTATGCCTTTAGTCTTGAGTAAAACGCTGAGCTCTTTGCCAATGGGAGATGAGTAGTAATTCTTGGCATGCAGTGGCATCATAATTAAAGAAGCTATCACCTGTGCTTGATTGGGATGAAGTGCCAATTGAAGCATATACCTTGAAAGCCCAAGTGGCTGCTACACTTTACCTTATGATAGTAATGATGACTGTAAGGACTTTGGTGTTGGATGTAAACTTTTGAATGCCCTTAAGCACTTATGAAGAGAAAATGACAAACTCAGATCTGTTAACTCTCAGCTCAAGTCATGGTCTGAGAATTCAAGAGCTCCCATCAAAGCCCTAAAACAAGCTCTTATTTCTTTTAACCATAGAGCTGATATCGCTGTATATAAAAAAAAAATTTAAATTTATGGGTTGATGAGTTATAATGACAGTTGAATTCACAATCTCATCGAGTTTTCCTATATTTTTCCTTCTCTTATGTATCCAAGAAGAGTTGTTAATTTTTCAGTCTGTTCAGTTTGTTATGTGTTAAGACAGAATGGTAACTTCCAAGCTTTTTACATGTGAAATTGAAACTGTGTATAAGTTTTTGTGTGGATGTATATTTTCATTTCTCTGGTATTTATACCCAGGAGTGGAATTGCTGGGTCATATGGTAATTCTGTGATTAACTTTTTAAGTATGATGTAGGTTTTTCATATATGTACTTTGTCAGTCTGAAGAAGTTGCCTAGTTCATTGAGTGTTTTTGTTATGAAAGTGTGTTGGATTTTGTCAA